ATCATCATCAGGAAAGGAACATGACGTGGGAACCACACATCTTTATCATCATCAGGAAAGGAACATGACGTGGGAGCCACACATCTTTGTCATCATCAGGAAAGCAACATGATGTGGGAACCACACATCTTTGTCATCAACAGTAAAGTAACATAACGTGGGAACCAAACATCTTTGTCATCATCAGAAAAGTAACATGACGTGGGAACAACACATACTTTAAAGTTCTAACAATTCATGAACGAGTGGTTATTTTATTTTATTACAAGTTACAGTTTTACAGTCAGTAAGATTTGTTTTTAGAACAGGTACGATCACTGGTGCGATCATTCTCAAGTACATCTTAAAATCACGATCGAGTTTCCTTTATCTTTGAATAACAATTTATTCATTGTTCCTATGAAGTCTGAGTCCTTTTCCTTCTGCTCATCTTGTTTTATTGGCTTCTTCTTGTTTAGCATTTTTGAAGTTTTTTCATTAAATTCATCTAGGAAGTGTTTTTTTAAAGGACCTGCTTTTGGTTTGGTAGAGAAATTCATCATTAAGTTGTTCTTGTTTTTTGGAATGTTGAGGACCTGCTTTTGGTTTGGTAGAGAAATTCATCATTAAGTTGTTCTTGTTTTTTGGAATGTTGAGGACCTGCTTTTGGTTTGGTAGAGAAATTCATCATTAAGTTGTTCTTGTTTTTTGGAATGTTGAGGACCTGCTTTTGGTTTGGTAGAGAAATTCATCATTAAGTTGTTCTTGTTTTTTGGAATGTTGAATATTTCTGATAATTTATTTGTTGTCCCGAGATGAATTTTGATTTGCGATCAGTTGCTGTTGATTGGATTTGAGATTTGATTTAATTATTACTTTCCTGCAGAGGTCTTCAAGGCTGGATTTTAAATCTAACACTAGGATGTTGGGAGGAGTTATTGCGTAGTTAAGAGTTGAAAGTTCGCGAGGTTGATTATATTGTACTTTACAGTGTGTCTGGTTCTGTGTTTTGGATTGTGCTCACAGGCGAAGTTTTTCTAGCTTTCTGTCTAAATTTCGTTTGATAGTTAAGCCTTTAGAGTAGGTGCTTTTTTATATTGATGATGAAAGTAAGTTTAATATTCAGGGTAGTCAAACGTGAAAGGCTGCTTCGTAGGTTAAGACCATTTTTGCAGAGAAATTTCAGTTCTGTTTTTTCCTTTATGACTTGTTTAGAAAGTTTTATTTGAGCTTTTTCTATGATACTTTTGATTTTTAGTTTGGGCTGAAGGTTGTTTTATTTTTAGGATGGTTGATGACAATTTTTCTATTTTTTAGGTTTTTAGGAGAGTTAAACATAAAATCACATTCTTCAATTTCAGTTTGTTTGTTGTTGTTTTCGTAATAATAGAAACTTCTTCTTTCCTGCCTCGCCATAACATAGGCGGATTCTTTTCATGAAGCTTATGTTGTTTAATAGCAACATTTGGCTTAACTAGCTCTTGTAAGATTCGTGATACGGAAATTAAACTATAACACTTTGATTAAAAAAAGAATAAAGATATATTTTTTCTGTTTCTTACGGGTTTCTTGTAACTGTGGCGCTTTATCTGAGGTGTTACTTCTTGGTATTGGGGGAACTGGTTAGGTATATAGTTTCGTTTTGAGTTTACTTACTGATTAAGTATATTATATTACAAGTTACAGCGTTTACAGTAAGTAAGATTTATTGTTTATTTTTAACAGGTACGACGTTTCGATCACTAGCGCGATCATTCTCTCGTATGGTTATTTTGTTGGTTGAAAATTTATTAGGTTTTATATTCTGTGTTCTAAGCTTCGTTTCTGTTTTTCAAGACTTCTATCTTAGATAGATTACAATTTAGTAAATGTTTAAAACACAAGTGCTTTAGGTTATTTTAAAAATATTTGAATAGTTAGTTTATTGCCTAAATAAAACAATTACTGATCTAACAATAAATATCATATAATTGCTAATTAAGCAGTTGTTTTTTTTTATTCTTCTAGTTTCATTTATTTTTACTTGGTCAAGTGTTGATTTTTAGTGATAAATAAAGTAATCACCTTCTGAAGACTGCTGTTTGGATTAATAACTAAATTTTCCAAGTCAATAGAGTCGCAGTTTTCTTTACAGCCTTCTTTTATGTCTTCAAGATTTTTTTGAATATTTTGTACCTCTTTTTCAAGCTTGCTGTAATTTAAACGAATATCGTCTATTTCGTTAACGACTTCTTCCAGTTTTTCTGTGATATTCTGAATTCCTATGAAAGTAGGAAAAGAAGTAAAATATGTAAACTGTACATCTGTTTTCATACACAACAGAAAGGCAATGGCTTCAAAATATGTAAACTGTACATCTGTTTTCATACACAATAGAAAGGCAATGGCTTCAAAATATGTAAACTGTACATCTGTTTTCATACACAATAGAAAGGCAAATGGCTTTATTCTGCACTTCATGAAAATTAAAAAAAAATGTCAATAACGGCATTTTCAGTGCAAAACTTAGAGAAATGTTATTTGATATAACTTTAATCCCTGTAACATAAAAGATACGCCATCTATCAAAATATTCCCTGCTCTCTCGATTAAGACAAAATGGAGTAAGCTACGACAGGTCACCTTTAATTCAAATAACTTACACGTCTTAATTGCCACTCATTGTCAATGGTCAATAACGGACATGATGCCGATAAAAGAAACAGCAAACAAAATGTACCGCACAGTAAAAAGATCAACGTAAAATATACGTCCAAATCAGAGTTTCTCTTACGGACGTCAGAGCTTATATTGCAGGACACAAAAACTCGCAAAGGTTTTATACGCTGTACACCTCTAAATCATTTACCTTTTTTTTCTTCTTACACAATCCATTTCAATCAAATCTTTTACTGAACAAATAACCATGGATTGGTGCTACGTAGGTAGGCTAGCGTTATATCACTGCTCAATCTGGGGAAGGTTATAGCCCTTTCAAACGTAAAATATTCATACACTCAGATAATATGGCGTCTTGAAACAGATAATAATCCACGAACACAAAGGTCAGTGGTAAAGTTCCATGTTTCACAGGCAACAGTAATAGTTGGGAGTGAACCTTCTTGATTATCTTCATGATTAAAAAAAAAAGTTACCCATAGCTAGTGCCAGTTTATTCATGATAACTGAAAAGCAAGTTACCCATAGCTAGTGCCAGTTTATTCATGATAACTGAAAAGCAAGTTACCCATAACTAGTGCCAGTTTATTCATGATAACTGAAAAGCAAGTTACCCATAGCTAGTGCCAGTTTATTCATGATAACTGAAAAGCAAGTTACCCATAACTAGTGCCAGTTTATTCATGATAACTGAAAAGCAAGTTACCCATAACTAGTGCCAGTTTATTCATGATAACTGAAAAACATGTTGTAGTTAGTTCGAGTCAGAGGCGTTTTTAACACTTCAAACTACTCGGTGCAACTTTCCTAGGAGACCTGTCCGTACTGATCAGTTATAGGTATAGAAATTTATAGGTTTTTTGCATTACTTTGGGGGCCCGTCGGTGCGTTGCCCCGATTGCACAGACGTTGCATATGCCACTGGTTCCAGTTTTGATCCCATATTTGATTATAGCTACAAAACAAGTTAGTTGTAGGTGGTAGCGTTTCTTCAAGATAACTAAAAAACAAGATAGCCATAGCGAGTATATTTATAATAACTTAAAAGAATTAGCCATAGCTGATGTGAGTTTCTTCCCAATAACTAAAGAAGAAGTTAGCTATAGCTGATGTGAGTTTCTTCTCAATAACTAAAGAAGAAGTTAGCTATAGCTGATGTGAGTTTCTTCTCAATAACTAAAGAAGAAGTTAGCTATAGCTGATATGTGTTTCTTCACAATAACTAAAACAGAAGTTAGCTGTAGCTGATGTGAGTTTCTTCACAATAACTAAAGAAAGTTATTGGGAAGAAACTCACATCAGCTACAGCTAACTTTTTCTTTAGTTATTGGGAAGAAACTCACATCAGCTATAGCTAACTTCTTTTTTAGTTATTGGGAAGAAACTCACATCAGCTACAGCTAACTTCTTTTTTAGTTATTGTGAAAACAGAAGTTAGCTGTAGCTGATGTGAGTTTCTTCCCAATAACTAAAAGAAGAAGTTAGCTATAGCTGATATGTGTTTCTTCACAATAACTAAAACAGAAGTTAGCTGTAGCTGATGTGAGTTTCTTCACAATAACTAAAGAAGAAGTTAGCTATAGCTGATGTGTGTTTCTTCACAATAACTAAAACAGAAGTTAGCTGTAGCTGATGTGTGTTTCTTCACAATAACTAAAGAAGAAGTTATCTATAGCTGATGTGTGTTTCTTCACAATAACTAAAACAGAAGTTAGCTATAGCTGATGTGTGTTTCTTCACAATAACTAAAACAGAAGTTAGCTATAGCTGATGTGAGTTTCTTCCCAATAACTAAAGAAGAAGTTAGCTATAGCTGATATGTGTTTCTTCACAATAACTAAAACAGAAGTTAGCCATAGCTGGTGCAAGTTTTCATGATAGCTGAAAAACAAGTTGAAGCCGGTTCTAGTTTGATCCCATACGTGATCATAACTAAAACGTTTTATATAAAAAGCGGTTCTTAGTCACTAAATATATCAAGTTGGAAACCGTGTCTACATAAACTATTAACACGTTTTTATTGTTGTTGCACAACAGATTATACGCACTGGTCTTTCTCTCGTATCGAACCTCGAGTTCTATCGTTATAACGTCTCCTGCTTACTGCCGAGCTATCGGAGTTCACCATCGATAACAGAAAATACTAAACACGTACATGACTCAGCATTTTTTGTAATGGGTGTTAGCGTCGACAGATTTTACAGTTTGAAATTAGCTATGTCTGCATCATCTTGCAGTTTTAACTAGTTTAAATCTGAAAGGAGCCTCTTACAAAGTAATTTAAAGAAATTAAAAACAGGATGATGGAAGATCTGTAAAACATTTTATTACAACTTGCATAAAAATCAGGCCTCTAGTATTAGAATTGTATGTGAGAATGTATACTGGTAATAGTATTAACGATGGTTAGTCAGAGACAAAGCAAACTATTACTTGTATCCAGAGGGTCAATCATTAAAATTAGTAATTTTATATGGTATCACTTAGTACCTTTACTAAATATATCTAATTATAAAATACAATGTGTGAGGAAGGCCAGCCAAAAGTTGATAGCAGTTTTATCCAGCTTTTAACCTTTATTACGAAGACGCGGTGAAGTTGCGACAAACAGTTTTAACATCAGAACAGGTTACGCTTCGATATCGTAGAACCTGCAAACAAATTCCTGGAACCACTATGAGAGTTTATCTAATAATGCAGTTTGCGATATACTGACGATGCTTTAATATTAACTAGTTTAATCCTTAAATAATTTCACATTTTTGTTGATATAAATATTTACTAGAACCAATAATAGCATGAAACGTCATCCGTTTACAGAATTATTAACGGATACGTAAGAGTAAACACTTAGGATGTCAACTACATTGGTGATGAATTATACACATTATCTTAGTGTTTAATATAGAGAATGACATCGTGGAAGAACAATATTCTCACTGACTACGTGTAATTGTTACTTACGTTAATAATCAGTATGTACAAGACAATACTTAGAAACATTTCAACAAAAGAAGATAAGTTGACTCTCTCTCTAGTATTATACAATGCTTGTTTGTATCTCTGAGAATCAGGCCACTGTAATATATCTTTATCAAAGCGAGAAACAATGAAAAACGTCGTTTTACTCAGGTTTTATGGCGTTTATATAAAGATAACGCACTGATATGCTGTTTTACCTTCGACTATCTTCGCTTGAGATACAAAAACAGGATGTGTACCTATTCTATGAAACGAAAGTATTACAAAGTATGACTGATATACTGTAGAGTTTCTTACGTTAAGAAAACTGGTTGAAAACTTTTATATATCCGTAATGTGAAACACTTATATCAAAATAATCATTTTACGATAATTATATTCCTAACGTCAATAAAAGCTTGCTTGCTTTGATCAAATACTGAATGTGTGTGTGTTATATAACACAATTCGATGCCGTTACTCTATGTTAATTGTAAATAGAATAACATGTCGTTTCGTTATGTGAAAAATATCATAATTCTCTAACTAATTTTAGGTATATACTACGGGAAGCATATCCACTGTAAACAAATGCTGAATGGGGCTGGATTTCACGGACTGGATGCAACCCAGCTAATAAAATGCTCTCCACTGTTATCAAAGTAGTATTGGAACTTGAGTTTCGAAATTAGGGTAAAAATAACAGAAAATGTACTAACAACTTCGCTCTTTATTTCTAACCGCAGATAAGCGGATCATGAGTAATAAAATCGAATCGGGTGTAAGTGTGCCCCACGATCGGTATTGCTGACGCAAAAAATATAGTTAATAAAAAGGAAAACAAAGGTCTCATAGATGAATTTACTCTAATCCTGCTTAAAAGAATTAAATGCCGCGGCTATTGAAGATTCCCTCTTGTTTGCTTATGATAAACAGGTTTCGGTTTGAGAGTGTCCTGAAAGTGGTGAAATAGGTTCACGGTGTGATGAAGCCATGTATGCCATGACATTCTCGCTGTACTAATAATACATCATATCAAAATGTGCGCAGTGGTTCAAGACTGCTATTTCCCTGACTAAACCTTGATTAGACCATAGCCCCCTACCTAAATCCAACTGAATTGAGCCGAGACATTTCGACCATTGCCCGAGAAACAGAAGATGTATATCTACAAATCTTGGTTAACTTGGAACACTGAAAAAAATATAAAATAAAATAAGAGAGGGTATATTTCACTAGATATTTTTCAAACGGTTTGTGATAAGTTCTAGGAACAGGGCCCATTTGTAATTAAAGCCCAAATTGGGCTCATTCCGTCCTAAAATGGCGAAACACTACATCTTCCTTTTCAAGATAAGTTGAACAGTATAGTGTACATTTGTACTAATCTCTGTAAAGCCATAAATTATATTAAAATTCTTTATTGCTAATTTTAATTGTTACAAGTTATATAAAAAAAATTCATATAACACACAAGAAGTTTTAAGCTTAATTGTAGGATTAATTTATATCCTCATTCTTCTCAATCTAGGAAATGGAATGATTTAAGTAGAAAGACTTACCTGAATCAATATCCTCCGACTTCTTAATTAGCTCCTCTATCGAAATAATGCGCATTAGGCTCTTTACTACTGGGTCTCCAACTTGCGTTTTGATGTCTGGATAAATACACAACCGTTCTTTTAAGTGTGCCCCTGTTTTGGGAACAACATAGAAAACAAACAAGCTACAAGAAAATAAAATATCCAACAAGCTGTCTTACCCCTTTACTCATGGAGTTCGTGTAAAGTGTCTTTTTACTCGTTTTATATCAGTACAAACCTTTACAAAACGTCACTAATTTCGAACACATGAACCAGAGGGAAGGCAGTTAGTTAACAACATAGCGTAATTTTGTGACAACAAGACGCGAACCATAAACGCTGTGATACAATGTCCGGCACACTAACACCACTAGGCCAAGCAGCACCCACCCTTCTACAACCACATTCGAGGCGTATTTCTAATTTTACAAAATATGATTTACAGAAACAAATCAAGGTAGTCGCTTGTAACTTCACATTATCCGAGTTGCAAGTGGAAAACCCAGTACTTTATTGCAGTTATGTTCTCCATTGTCTGCGCACTTTTAGAGTTAGAATGATTAAATAGACTCTTGGTATACATGATAGGTCATAATTACAGTAATAATAGTTTTAGTTGTTTTTTCAGTTTTGTCGGTAAGATGTTAACAAAGATGTTGAGGTGGGTGGAACTTCAAGGCAATATAATGTGCTATAGCCAAGGTGTATATTATTAAGACCCACCTTCTACTTCAATAACCATAGTTTGGTTTTCATCCATTTCAGTGGTACAAAATATCCACCAATGAATACTCAAGCGATTATCTCACGATTAAAAGGTAACATTTTCTCGTGATGTTTAAGCTCATTCTTGTTGTTCCTATGAGGTTTTACAGTCTAATTATGTCAAGTGTGTTACGTATGTATACAGCTAACGAAACATGCTAAAAACCTTACAAATAAAGATGTCTCTCAAACACTAATAACATAACCGAAAAAATAATAAGTGGTCATGTCTTTCATGAACTTCGCACTCGGTTCCGTTATGTTGGTAATCAAAGTTATAATCTCGAGTCACTTTCTCCTAAACTAACAGACTTAATGACACAACTGTCTCTAGCATGAGAATCAACTAAAGAACTATCGCGTTTAAAAGCTGTAAAATAAATTTGCAGGAATAGTAGTATCGCAACACGATTTAAGCTTCAATGTGCCCATTATGTTTTAATATATCTTCATCCAACAAGTAAATGCTATGCACCTACAGTATGAAATTAATTTCAGTATACAAAAGAGTGTTTGTGTTAGAAAGTTACGTTTTTTGTTTGTTTTGAAATCCAGTTGTTTTTTAACGTTCTTCCTATAAAGCTTTTCGAAAGTAAAAGTTTTATAATAGTTTTTTCTCTTCCAGGAATCGAACTTCAGAAACTACGCATTAAGTATGTGTGTAGTACGTGTAAAAAAATCATTTATCGATACTCAAGTATTTATATAGATAATTGACAAGTTATACAAAGATTTCACTTATTGATACATTATAATTCATCTTTGGTTTCAGTTTCATGGCGGATAAGGTTTCCTTGATCCTTACATTTTGATAGTATTACCAGAAGTACCAGGTTAGCCTTAATGCATTTTTATTCGTATAAAAAAATTAGATTAAATACACTATTAAAATTTTCCAAACACGGCGCTAACTTCTGCATGGTCTTCTCGCTAAATCCACCTGCAATCAGAGTGCGGCGAAATATAACTACTGGATTATTCAGGTATGAAGTTGAAATATCGAGTTGTAATAAACTTAGTATTCTGGTGATATCCAAGCTTGTTGAAACGTACAAGACACTGGGTAGGGAAGGCAGTCGTAAATATAACTACTGGATTATTCAGGTATGAAGCCGTAAGTTGAAATATCGAGTTGTAATAAACTTAGTATTCTGGTGATATCCAAGCTTGTTGAAACGTACAAGACACTGGGTAGGGAAGGCAGTCGTAAATGAATAAAAATTGTCTGATAATTAACATAAAAAAGGCTTTAAAATATTATTTAACTATTTCACACAACAATAATTACTGTATTGTACGTACAAAAACATGCAAAATACAAATTACTTGATGTGTACTACATATATAACCAGTATACACATTATACAGGCACAAGAAAAATTACTAAGATCGTAATGTTCAGAATTTACCAATGAATTGTAGTCTCCTTTAATTTCAGCTGGCAAAGTCAGCCTACTGCTTAGAATGAGACTAAATAAAAAAACTGTTGTCAGCAAAATATTAAAGAGGGGCGCGCGCACATACACACGTTCATTCCGACATATATGATATAGGTCGTTTTATATTTATTTTAGAAATATAATTGTTACGTGATGGTTGTTCAGAAAAACCTGGACGAAGTACATTTACATGTCGAAGAAATGTCTTACAAGCCATTAAGGATACTAGACAAAGAAACATCAAAACAATAAACAAGTTAAAAGTAGCCACATAATTTAACTAGATCATCATGTGTTAAGCCTAACAAGCTAGCCCTGAAATGTCAAATAAGTGTCTGCAACCTCGGAGATTTATAAACTTAACATCTTGTTTGTTGTTAATCGCAAGGCTACACAATGGGCTGCCCGTGATTTGCCCACCTTAGGTATTAAACCCTTATTTTGAGGTGTTTAAGCCCTCATACTTACCGCTGAGGCACCGGGGGACTATAAATAAGGATGTAATTGAAGCGATTAATTATTCAAGTAAAAAAAAAGAAATCGTTACAGTTAAACGAGATAAAGGAAATGGCATAAACATTTCAAATAAAAAATATTATATAAATAAAATAAGCACAGTAATGTAGGATGAAACTAAAATTAGAAAACTGATTTTGATCTCACATAAAAACCGAATGCCAATTAGAAAGGTATTTGTTAAAATTAAAGAAGAATAAAACCAATAGTGATATAATATGCGAACATATTAGACCAGTAAGTTTTGATTGTGTTATTTGATAACAAAAATTCATAAAAATAATTTTCCCATTAAGACAATAGTTTCGAACATAGCTTCTTATAACCAGAAATTATAGATTTTTGAACTCTTTTTCTTAAAACATTTGAAAAATCAATATACAGTTATGAGTAGTTTTAATTTTTTTAGACCAGCGTCTCCCAAGCTGGGATCCCGACCCAAAAGAGGATCGGGAGATCATAAAAAAATACTGCGGTAATGGATATTTTATAGTATGTATAGGAACTTGCTATCACTTTGTTTTGTGTGTATAGGGGGGGGGTCGTCACAGCCTTATATATTTTCAGATGGTGGAAAGGCCCAGCAAAAAAAAAAGTTTGAGAACCCTGCTCTAAACATTTGGCAACTTTAAGATTTGATGAACAAGTTTATCGTGCAAGTTTTTGTATTTAGTTACTGTACACAAATATTTCTTCGCGGGAAGTAATTCAAATAGCAGCAGATTTGATTTTTCAAAATGATATAATTGTGAAAAAGATAACTAAAATTTGAGGTTTTCCTACAAAGAATTCTCATTTCAATTTTTACAACAATAGTAATGATCAAATAAATACTTAGTGATGCTATGAGCCCAAAATTAGCACCTAGTCTAGCAAAACCTTTTTAGTTTTTGTATTATCACGAAAAACAATGGTTCAATCACTACTGTCCAGGTAACCAAAACCTTTTACGTAACATAGATAAGTTATAGAGTTTATTATAGAGTTTATCATACTGTCAGTGACTATGATAAACTACCGTAGACAGGATCCCATAGTTATACTGACAATCAGTTTGATATATATTATAGAGTTTATCATACTGTCAGTGACTATCATTATTTTTATAAAGAAATCGATAATTTGAAAAATGAATTGTTGTGGTGAGGTTTTCATCTAACATTATTCAACAAAGTTTTAAATGTTTTTCATATTGTGTGTACACCCCTCATAAAGTGAGCTATGACGTTCCAAAACTGTCATTTTACGTCAGTCTTATATTTCTGGATAATAACAGTTATATTTTGAAAAATACAATCAAAAATATGTTGAAATCAAACTATTCTCAAATTTTATATGTGTAGCCTTAAAATTTATGTTGAGAACAAAGAAAAAAATAAAATAAAAGGATATGGACGGGACTGAATCCTCGACTTCGCACATATCAAGCGTGTACTATGTCATGTGAGACAAAGCCCAAAGATTTCTTTCAGATATGCAGCATTATTAAATAAAA